TCTGACAATTATAACGTCCAAGATTAAAAAAATATATAGTGAAATGGGTTGGGAGATAATAAATTAATGGTACAGCTGTACCATAAAAATTAAACTGATCTAGTAAAAAATATCTATTTCCATAACTAGCTAATTATTTTATAATTACTTAGAGCTTTGTGGAATAAGACAGTTACACACTAGAATTTTTGTTTCACTTATTACATCCTAAGCCTACTTTCATCCTCTAAATTTCAGGACAGAAATATCTTGTTCTTCACTTAATATTACCTTGAATTTTAAAAATTCATTCTCTAAAAAAGCTGGGCACCAGTAACTCACATCTGGATCCTGAGTCCTTTGGAGGTTTATATTGGTCAACATTAGGATCATGGTTTCAGACCAAGTCAGAAAAAGAAGTCTGAGAGACTCCATCTCCAGGTAAGCTGGGCATGATGGCACACAATTGTCATCCCAACTACTACCAGGGAGCCTAAAATAGGCAGGTGCTTGTCCAGTCAGGAAGTGAGATCCTATCTCAAAAACAACCAGTTGAAAAAGCGTTGGAGACATAGCTCAGTGGGAGAGCACTTGTCTAGCAAGCTCAATGCCCTGTCAAAAAAATGCCAGTGGCTCATGTCTATAACCCTAGCTACTCAGGCCGAGATCTTAGAATCAGTAGTTCAAAGCCAGCCAGCAGATAAATACACAAGACTTTTATCTCCAATTAGCAAGTAAAGGTCAGAAGTAGAGGTGTAGCTCAAGTGATAGAGCACCAGACCTGAACAAAAAATGCCAAGCAAGAGAACAAGGTCTAAAGTTCAAGCCTAAGTACCAGCATACAAAAAAAGCAAAGAAATGAAGAAACAAAGAAAGAAAAAGAACTGACCACTAATTAAGTACCTACACACTGTAAACCTTTAAAGTTTTCCTTCTAACATTTCTTTCCACAATTTTTCCCAAGGGATATATACTCTATTTACATATCTCCTTGATAACTTTTTATTAACTATCAAACAATCTTCATCTAATGTAGTTATCAGAAAAGGCTATTCTGATAAACAAAGTAAGAGCTTTCATGGCATTATAACAAAGTATAAGTGATTCTATATAGTTATTTATATAATTTTTCCCTCCAATAACAATAGTTGAGATAACAGACATATTAACAAATATGAAAATGCTAAATATCAATTCACTCAAGAGAAAAAAAAGAAATTATACAAATAATAAAGCTAGCTTTCAGGATTTATTTCCTTGACCCAAAAAGTAAACAGCCATCTGCAACAACCTGTTCTAGGTCCTTGAAAGGAAATCTGAGTAGTCAGTAAAGATATTCCAGCTAATATCAGGTGATTCTGGCTAAATTCAATCCAATGTAATTTCAACTACTGTGTCCAGTGTGTCTTGAACTGAATTTTTATTCTATTGAAAAGGGAAGAAATATGATATAGAAAATTTTGTTGCATTTCTTTTATGCACACCACTATGTATCTAATAAATACCTACTACTCAAATATTCCTCTTTGGAACTACTGGATTAGTACACTCCTTTCTAGATCCACAGCCCTTTCCAAAATCATTCATACAGAGCCACTTAGAAAATTCTAAAAGAGCAATAGCACTTATAGGGATCAGAGGAAAAAGAAGTATCAGCATGGGATAGAGAAGTGATGGAAGAAGGGATTCATAAATGTTTAACAATGTTGATAATTTTTTATGAAAGAGACAGCTCAAGTTAGGTTTTACAAATTAAGTATTCTAAAATGAATTACCAACCAGTATCAAACACAAGAGCATGCCCTAAGTCCATATTTAACTTATTGACTACACTAAATTATATGAACACATATCCTGAGTAAGTTTTAGCCGTATCAGTCATATCAGTAGATTATATTGAATCCTATATTAACAACTATGTTAAGATAAGAGCATTTTGTTACATGAGATGTGTTATTTGCACCATAATTGAGAAAATTTTCTGTTGAAAAGAATAACAGCAGTAGTTTGGCTTGAAAAAGAAAATAATCATCAGAATTGCTGGAGGTAGTGTTCCATTTCTTAAAACAGGAAGATATGTTACAGTGTTATTCTTTATAATTTGTTCATTTTATAAACACTTCAAGTATGTTTAAATGTTAAGAAAAATCTGAGCAAACATTTGCTCATGGAAGTTAAATATACTTAAACTTCAATCTGTTTTTGCTATTTTTAAATAAAATAGAAATCATTAAAACATCAGTAAATAAGGAAAATAAATTCTCCTTAATTTTCATTAAGGAAATTAGCAATAAAATTTTACTGAAAAGAAACTGTGTGTATAATATATCAATTTATATTCAATATACCTAAAAGTAAAGTTCTCTTCAAAACCAAACTCCATCACAAATATTTCTTTGGCTACATAAAATGTATTCCTTCCTCTACTTACAAAACCAAAAATGAATTAGAAAACAAGTTTCTAAAGAAAAGTGTTTCACTCTAAGTAACTATAATTTTTGCATATGTGTACACTTAACATTTATGTGAGTTCTACTACATTTATTCACATTTACAGTGTTTCCTTTATCATAAGTATGTACATTTTATTTATGCCTTGGGGATACTAATTTGAGTGAAAGGGCAATATAGTATTCTGAAACAGCTCTTCTACTTCTTAGGCATAGATTCTTGAGCAAGTTACTGAATCTGTGTTCCAGTATCTCATGGATAAAATAAAAAATAACAGTATATAGTTCATAGGATTTTAAAACTGATTAGAACGAATATAAAAGAGGACTAGCATAGAGTAAGTGCTTTGTAAGTGTTGGGCTATTATTACCAGTAGTATTAATTCCCCATCTCTCCGAACATACTAAAACCATTCTTAACAACCAGAATTATTGACTATAATCATATTACTAATTAAAATAGAAATCAAATCTAAATAACAATGAGTCTGAAGCTCTGCAACTTTGAAGAGAACTGATTAATAAATCTATATTACCACTCCAAAGATAAAGAACAATCCAAAAAGTACTAGCTCCCAAAAACACAACTATCAATTTCTTCCCTTACACAAGGGGGCAGTGATAACAAGAAAAGAATGGGGCTCTGTAACACCTCTTCCTACAGACAGTAGGGGGTGGCAGCACATATGGCTTGCAGTCAGAACAAAACAGGAAGACCCAACAGAACTGCTCTTTATTCTTCCCTGGCCCTGTCCTCTCTTCTTTAGCCTCAACAGAGCCTCAAGATAAGGAAAATATCGACGGAAAAGACAAAAACCCAAAATTAATCATCAAGGAAAATCAAATTTTATCTTTGAAGAAAATGATCCCTCAGTGGCTGAATTTTGAACCAGGGGGAAGCCAATCAGTATGAATTTCCAGATTACATGGCAAATTACAACATCTACACAAGTATCAATTTTTGTGTAAGAATTGTAACATAATACGACAAACTCTCATAGTAAACATATTCTAATGAACACATCCAGTTAGTTCTGCTTTTGTTTCACAGTAAGAGACAGTCATTGTGTATATATATATGTATATATATATATATATATATATATATGGTATATCACATAGCTCATCTAGCTCTTTTGTTACTTCTGAAATTTCAGCTATGTTCTGACAATCCTCTCAAAACACAGATGCTCCTAAAAGGAAATCACAATGTTTTTGCAGCATGTGGGCAATTTCACATATATGTATATATGTACATATTTATATACATCTAGAAAGAGACAAGAGGGAAAAAATGGGAGAAGAGGGAAAGAAGGGATATTTAAGGCTCTATTTTTGTGGTCACATTCCTAAGATGATCTACCTGAGAAATGCTAAAGAAACAGTCCCCTGACAGTGTCCATGTTGCTTTTTATGCCAATTTTCTGCATTCCATTTTTCTCTTATTTTACCATTCCAACACCCAGAACATACAAGAATATTTCACTACTGCCCTCCTCCGTAATTAACCATCCTGATGGCTTTGGCTCCTACCCTCAAAATGCCTGAAAATTTACCCCTTTTGTTCACCATATTGTTTTGTTTCCTTCATTCATTTTCACCTGTGTAAAAAAAAATCAAGAAAGGGGCACATATGAAAAAATGTTTCCCCTTGCCTAATAATCTTGAACTCACAATTATGGTCAAGATACTTGGATTGTTTGGGGTTTTGCTTGTTGTGTTTTGTTTCTTTTCCTGTAAAGGAGCAGAGAGTGAAAGACACCCCATGTACACCAAATCCTCTTCCCAATGTTAATTATCATTGTTTATGTTTTATGAAAAACATGTTCCACATTCCACACCTGGAACAGAAGACAGGGCAGGATTCTGTCAGTGCTCTCTACGCGCTGAAGGCAAAACCTGGAATTATTTTAGTCCTATTTTTTTCTTTCCTCTCTCACAACCAGATACAAATTGCTTTTTGCTTTCACGTGAGTACTTTCCCTATGTCAAAAAAAATAGCCTAAAAAAATAGCCTATAAGCTCCCTCTCTATTTCCTGTGGCAAAATAATCTAGCAATGGGCCCTATTAATATTTTATTACACCACACCTCCTTCCCAAGAGGAATTATTAGTATCACTAATAACTCTTCCACCAGGAATTTCTACACCACCCGGGCGAGCCCATCCAGTGCCTTTACCTGGCACATTTCACAACTACTTGCATGCTGCATTCGGGGGACACGTTTTGCAAAACTCGTTCTGCACCACATTCCCTGACACGTTGAGCCAATCTGCCTGGCACCTTCCTGCTATGGATCCCTGTCACCCGCACACACTCCAGGTACCAAATGCCATGACACCTTCGGTGACAGCCAAGTGGCCGAACCCCCTCCACCCAACCCATCGGTTGCAAGTACCACATGCGGAGGCAGCCTGATTCCCCACGTCCTCGACACCGGAGGCACTTCGCTGCCGGGGTTCGCAGTCTCCGCACGCGCCCCCGCCCCTCTCCGGCAGCTCAGGCTTTCGTGGCGAACGTCCCTGTCACTAGAGCGACCTTCCCTAACCCGGCTCCCTCGGCCCCCTTACCTGCCGCTCGGAGGGGTCTGGCGCACCTCGGGGTCCAGCCCGCGTCCCCGTGGTCTCCGGGTGCCGCCCGCGCCTCCCCAGAGCCCCTCGCTGCCCTCCGACGCCCCCCCCACCGGAGGGTC